TTTAAAAAAACCACTGGACCAAGAATATGTCATGTTGTCGTTATTGTGGATGACATGCTACATGGGAAGCAGTCAATAAATATGATTAAATCAACTTAAGCAGATGCTTAACAAAAAGATTTAATATGAAAGATATGGCGGTCGCAGATGTTATATTAGGAATGAAAATTACTAAAAACATCATAATTTTTTTAATTTATGACGGATATGCATGATCTCAATCTTCATTATATTGAGAAAATTTTTGATAAATTTATCAAGGATATTGAAATAGCTAGAACACCGTAGGACGATCAGTTCCTTTATTTATCGAAAATAAAGGTGTGCAGGTCTCGGTTAAAAACTTCCCAACTCATTGGGAACGCCATAATGTACCTAAATGAATGTACTCGTTCCTGATATAGCTATGCTATCAGTAAAATGAGTAAGGTACACTAGAACCCGGAGAAGACCATTGGAAAAGCCGCATCATCGGGTTCTGAGATATCTAAGATTTACGCGTGATTCATGGTTTGAACTTTACTCGATATCCAGCAGTACTCGAAGGTTATGTGCATGACAATTGGATATCGGATACTAAAGATTAACAAAATCCACTAGTGGATATGTCTTTACTCTGGGACCTTTGTTTCTTTGGAAGTCACGCAAACAAACTTGCATCGCACGATCCACAATGGAATCGAGTCATTGCTGTTAAGACAAACAGGTTGAAGAAAAGCAGAATGCTGCGCACTTCTTAGAAGCATTCCAATTGTGGCCAAAACCTGTGCCAGCATTTTGCATTCATTGTGATAGTCAATCTGCAATAGGCCAGGGCACAGAATCACTAGGTATTAATGGTAAGTTCACCATAAATATTCGTTCGTCGAAACATTAATACCGTAAGGCAATTTGTTGTCAAACGGAATAATCTCAAGTAGGATTATATAAAATCTAAAGAGGAATATGCGGATCCGTTAACAAAAAGTTTGACAAAAAGAGTAGTGTATATTCATCAAAGGGATGGGATTAAGCCTCATACATAAGAGTCGTCATAATTCGGCTAACCCTACTATATGACTGGAGATCCCAAGAACGAAGTTCAAAGGGACAACTAAGTATGTTATTGGCTTCACCAGAAATCCACCCAAGGGATTAAAAATTCCCTACCCATTCCGTATGGTGAAGAGTATATCTGTAACATATGTGTATGCAGAGGTAAAAGGATAAGGTCTTTACTTTTAATGCATTACTGTACTTGATTAAGGTTATAAACATTCAGATGAGTATTAGTAGGGTATTCTGCACAATAAGAATCACCTAGTATGAGTGTTGAACACTGGGGCCGGTTTCTATGAGAATGAAGAAGGCTAAAATTCTCTAGAAAACACTTATGAAAATACCAGCTGGCGTTCAAGGCCAAAATGAACACAACAGTGAGAACCAACGATGTGTAAAGAATTTTGTGTGAAATCTATTGTCCTTGGCTTACACAAAACGGCTGAACAATCTCAAGGCATTCGCGTCCATGTGTAGCCAGTAGTCCGATAGGTTTATCACTAGGAAGGTTCAAGGCCAACACCAAACTACTATCCTGATGCAAGATATTTTCGACTTTATACTCTTCGTTAAATCTGCATATTGTTGCATTTCCGTTTTATCAAATTCCATTCATGTGGAGGATTGTGGAAATGGTAGAAAAATCTGGGTAAAACAGAATTTTTTCTCAAGTTTGGTCTATTTTTAGTGGTGCCCCGAGTGGTCGATTACTCGGGTCAAAGTGTAACGCGTTCTACCGCGTTGGTGATTTCACGTGGTATATTTGGTTGCTTCAAAAACCATTACCGAGTGAATGGGAAATTGAAGCCCAAAGTGTGCTCCATGGAAATGGAGTTTGTGGAAATTCCTTAAGGTTGTAAATTGGCTCGTCCCAAATTGATTTGGGGGAAGTTTGAAAAGGTTTATAAGGCTTGGGTGAGATTACTTGGGGTGTGCCCCAAGGGGTACCAAGTGTTTTAGAGGGAGAGGTTATGGGCAAAATGGGCATAGACCCATTGGACCCAAAAATCACCACACAGCGCGCCCACCGCCGTCCGTCCGTCCGGTCGGGCAGGCTGGCCTGGGCCTGGGCTTGCGGCGCGGGCTGCGTAGGTGTTGGTTGGAGTGCGCGCTTCTAATCTTTTTGGGCCAAAAACATTTGAATTTAATTGTATTTTTTTTCCCAAACAGGGCCCTTCCCGTTTTTGCTATCTGTTTGAATTGTTAACAGATTCAAATCTGTTTGAATTCAAAACCAACAGGTATCATACCTGTTCAATTTAAAACCAAGAGCCACCTTTACATCTATAAATAGGACCACCCTCATTTGATGTTATTGATTCAGAAATTTCGTATTTCACCTCTGCTAATTATATTCTTCATCTTGCTGCATTTTATTTCTGAAGGAAATAGTGTAAACACTTAGTGTGTTCGTAAGGCAAACAATTTGTAGTGCTGCTATTGTTTGTGGTAAGATCATTTCATCCTGGGAGATAGACGTCCAAATTCTAAAAGCACCGTGGAGAGGACGAATCTGTCTTAAGGACACAGTGTCAAACACTGGACTTGATCAGAAAATAATTCGAAAGTAAGTTATTTAATTTATTTTCAGTGTTGTTTTTATTTATTAAAATCAGATTTAAATTTTGTTTTTGTAACAAAATAAAATCTGTTTTTTATTTATTTATTTTTATTTCGAGCTTGATTTTTGTAATCAAAAAAATTCTCTCCTTTTCTTTATTTCTTTAAATTCTAATTGTTGTTGTGTACACAATAGAATTAAATCTTTTAAATACAGTGAAAATTGTCCTACAGTCATTTGACATCAGGACAAGTTTAAATACGAAATATCATAATAGCAATTTTATCATCCCAATTAACATTATTAAAGTTTTCATACTACAAAGAAGGTAAATGAAATTTTATTTAAATTGTGAGACCAACTACAGTTTTCTCATTAGTCTAAAGAAAGAAAAATTTCTAGCTAAACTAACATTCCAAAGTGTCTTGTTATAGATGTATGCATGTGAATAGTGTGACACGGAAAGAAAATTATTTAGTGCCCTTACGGCACTACCTGCTATGCCAACCACTCATTAATTATCAAATAATATATTCATTCATAATATAAAATTATAAGTCTCATTACTTTTACTAATTATAATTCTTTTGAAATATTAATCAATTATATTGCTAAGTGCATATTTAATTGACATTATTAGAGTATGGAATTGAGATTATTAATCTATAGGTCTAATAATCCTATGTTTGTTTTGAAAATTTATTTCAGAATTATTAATCTAACAAATTTGTAAGATTATTAGTAATGGGGTATAGATGAGATTATATATTCTAAGTTGGAAAATAAAATAAAATTACTCTTTTACCTACTAATCCAATACAAATCAAACAATGGACAAGTGAATAATTTATCCTATCAATCTAATTAGATAATAAATGCTATATTAATTTGATAGAATTATTAATACTTTTACTATTAATTTTGTGAATAAAAAATGATCTCAGTTTACTGGATAATTTCGCGAGAGGGAAAGCACACTCCATTGGCAACAGGCAGTGACCCTCAATAAATTTTTTCTGACAACCTCATTGCGCAATAGTTGATGATAGGTCCAGTTTCTCACATAAATGTTATTAATTTTTCACAGCCAAAAAAACCCCACTCTTCTTTGTTTATAGCCCTGGAAAGGGGAAAATAAATATATGCTAAGAGTAAGAAAGATTGTCATTCTTTTTTGAACAGATCCAAAAATAAACATTTCTTGTATCTAGTGATTGTGTGCCATAGGTGGCTTGTCGTACAGATAAAAGTTAGAGGAGTCTCCTTTATTGATGTCGCCCCACTCTCGTTTTTGTGCACCGACCCTCAATAATGTTTAGTAATTTAAATTTTTATGATTCGGATAATTTAAATATATCAAAATAGTCATATAAATTCAAGTTATCAAATAATTTTGTTTCTCATGCATGAGAAGCAGGTCATATTGGTGGTCTAAAAGTCCGTTGCATCTACTAGTCAATTAGAACACGATCCTCCTTAAAACTATTATAGTGAAAATGTATAATTTTACGACAAGATTCGTAAACGAAACACACATTTTGATTAAGTTAAAGTGATCGGATATATTATTTTGAGTAAGAAGAATAGAGATTCCATTACTTTGGATCAATCACGGTACGTGTTTTGTTCTTATATTTGTTAAGTGCGTGAATAAAATTATATTTTTTCAAATTAATCATCAGTTTTTTAGCCAACAAAAAGTTGAGTGCGACAGTTTATGTGGTATCACCCGTGAACCAAAAAAAAAAAAAAATTATTGAAGGAATTAGATGGACAGCATACTTACTTATTCAACAAAATATTCCTATTGATTGGTAATATACTAAATATCTTATATTTACTCTTTTTATATGAGACACTGAACAAGTGAATTAATATATCCTTCTGTTTTTACTGCAGAAAGGGAAAGCAATTGGAAAAGAAAAAGTCCAAAAATCAAAAGAACAAAGGAAAACTGTAGTTGCCATCCCTCTCACTTTAAGGACAACAAAAAGAGAAGGATATATTAATGGAAATATTTTATTCTTACAAATTTTTCTATTAAATAATGTGATGGTGTCATTTTTATATTTAATTAAATATCATTTTAGTATATTGTTTATATAAATAAATAAATTGATTGAGTATGAGGAATTACATATTCAAATCACATTTGACTTTAAACAAATAGATGACAAGTATGATTTTAAGAACAAACTGTTCATTTTTTAAAAATAATTGTGATCTAAATATGTAGTTATCGATATCTGATTAATAGAGTTTTTTGTGTAAATGATCTACTCAGAAAATTTTAAAAGTTGAATGATTTAGATCACCAAAATAAATCCAAGTTGGGCCCACCCTCCGGTGGAATTAGTGGATTAAAGGGAAGCTTGCTCAAAATGATAAAAGATTCTGTATATTTTTTCTATTCGTATATCATTAGACATATAAATGTATATGCACAATACAAGGGGAGGCTCAACAACTTCATTTTAAGCAATGACTTCTCATAAAGTAGTCTATGCATCTCTCATCATATATGCATTGATCATATTCATATCTCATTCTCAGGCTTCTTCAATTGATGATAATGTAGATTTCAAAAAGATTGAGTCTGGTAATGATCCAAGTAAAGTTGAGTTGTCACTTTACTATGAAACTCTCTGTCCATACTGTGCAAACTTCATAGTGAACAACTTGGCGAAGATCTTTGAGAATGGACTCATCTCCATCATCAATCTAAGGCTGGTCCCATGGGGAAACACTAATCTCAAAGATAATTCAACCTGGGTTTGCCAGGTCTGTCTCTGTTCTCAACTTCTTCATCTGTGCTATGATTTTTCTCTGTTATTTAATGGAAAACTAATTGTAAATCAACAGAGCATAGAGTTTTCATTTGCACTAGGCATATTTTTTATTGATTTGTAATTAGTTTCTGTATTCCTCATTTATTTGATATTTTCCTTATTTAATTGTTATTATTTCTTAAATAACTAAAATACCCTTCAGTTGAGATCTTCTAGCATTTTTTTTTTTATTTTTAATTTTCTAATGATCTGATCTGCTTAGCATGTGATTCACCCAGGAATGTGTTTAATGGAATCTATTAAACATTGTTGTATTGATTTAGCCCTGTGGAGCCTTTATAATTGCCAGGTGTCTATCAAAATTGACTTGGAATTAATTAGGAAAAATTATAAAAAAAATAAATAAATATTTGATCCTTGTAACAAAAAAACTCTGAATTTTTTACTTTGTCAATTTAAACCCTAAAATTTTGATTTGTTTTCAATTTCAACCATGTGCCTATTTCCGTTAAGTAAAACCTACGGAAGAAATATTATTTTGCTTATTAAATTCAGCGAAAAATGGTATTTTAGATTGTTTATGTATATTTATATTGAGTTTAATAACTGAAATATATTTTTTTCTGTTGGTTTTGCTCAATGAAAATAGTCTGACAGTTTAGATCGAAAATATTCAAAAATTTAAGGTTTAAATTGACAAAATTAAAAATTGATGTTTATTTTGTTAAAAGGGTCAAAACCCTGGAATTCTTGTAATTTCCCCCAATTAATTGTGTTGCGTATATGTGAAACTACACGAACACTTAACTTGTTTTGATATTTTGTTCAATTGTCAAGAATATTGTATAAGAAATATTTGACGAGAAAAATGAAATAAAGGAAAGGAATAGTTTTTTTTTTTTGGTTAATTGCACACTGGAAATATTTCCTTCAAAAAAAAAAAAGTTATGGTGTGCTTCTTAAGCTCACTGTTTAACACAATTATAAATTACAACAAAATCAAATATCTGATTTTGAATCTAACTGTTTGGTGAATATGTTTGAAACAACAATATGCAGCATGGACCAGATGAGTGTCTGCTAAACACAGTGGAAGCCTGTGCCATTAGAGTCTGGCCTGACTTGGTAACAACAAGACACATTGATTTTGCTCCAAAAACCCTAAAACATGTTTTCATAAAACAAAATATATAGTTCAATATTTCCCATTTGAATTCTGATTCAGGGAGCACATTTCAGCTTCAGATTCATCAAATGCGTCGAGCATTTGCATCTGGAGAACAAGCACAATGAGTGGGAATCCTGTTTTGGAACACAAGGATTGAATTCAAAACCTGTTGTGGATTGCTACAACAGTGGACTTGGGTTTCAGGTTTGTTTTGTATGCTTTTGCAGTCACATTCTCTGTTTTCTAGTTCTTCATTTAAGTTGACTTGGAGTTATAGTTATTCTCATGGAGTAACATATGAGAATTGCCTTTTAATGAAGGTTAAACAAGTCGCATCAAACTGAATAATAAGTAGTTCGAGTTTGGTTTGAAATTTTAAAGAATTTTGAAAATGTGTTCAAATTTGTTTTGTTTTTTCTTTTGAATTGATCTTAAACGAGCTTCAATCTCACTGATCATGAGCTCAAAATATGTACAAGCTTAGCTTGTTTACATAGAACCCATCTCAAACAAGGTTTTAATGAGTCAAACACGAACGGTGCTCAAGTACTTGAAGGTACCAAATGCATGTGCATACTTGGAGGTAATTTAGTGCACAAGACTCCCGTAACTGCAAGATTTAGGAAGAACCAAATGTGTACAGAGTCTCTCACATATGCATACTTAAATACAATTAATATTGAATTTGTTTCTCAGTTTTTTATCATTTTATTTGCCAAGTCCATTGCTGAATTTGCAAATTGACTGTGCAGCTTGAACGAAATTATGCTGATGAAACTGCTCATCTTAATCCACCTCACAGATTTGTTCCTTGGGTGATTGTGGATAATCAACCACTGCAAGATGTTAGTCCCAAGTCCTCTCTCTCTCTCTCTCTCTCTCTCTCTCTCTCTCTCTGTGTCTATATATATAACCTACTATACTATTCTGGCTGCAGGATTACCAAAATTTTGCAGCCAACGTCTGCAGAGCATACAAAGGCTCTAGCAGACCTAGTGCTTGCAAATCACTTTCTGTTGGGATCAACTCATCCAACAATGAAAATTCTGTTGCTCAAGTTAGCTATACAAGCGAGGCTAAAAACTTGACATCAATGGCACCAGCACAGAAAAAACCAGAATCACCAACAACTTCATCGACAAAGCGGATGAAGATGAAGATGGAAATTTCTGTGTAATTCGTAGCACCTGTGACTTAGTCCAGCATCAATCCATTACCATACATATATAATTGACAGGCTAATATAATCATGTGTTCAAATGGCAAACCAAGTTTCTAAAAAGTGCATGAATTGGGTGAAAATCCCAAATGATGAAATCTAGGTTAAGGAACATATGTTGTTAGATTCTAAACTTTCTCAAGAAAATTCAAAATCCTTGCAAGCATTTACATTAGTTGGAAACAGACAACTACTTCTAAATCTACGCAGCAACAATCTGTGAACAATTGATTTAGAAATGAGTTTGAATGATTCAATATAGTGATCAACTTATCTCCTATGATTAAAATGTTTTCTACTTGTCTCAATTCAAGAACTGCAATATTTTCTTCCAAGTAATATCACGAGAAGAGATTAAATGGAGCAAACAGCCAAATAACTCGCGTCAACACTAACAGACTTGGAGTTAAGTCAACAAAAATTACAAATTGACAAGATTAAAGATACAAAATGCTAAAAAAGTTGAGTTTCAACATAACTATAAGTCAACCGATATAAATATACTCATAAACTGGATTACATATTGCCTTGGAAATGGAAAAACGTTCGAATTTTATCACAAGCTTATCATGTTCCAAATGTTGTTGCATGTATCAAAGGCAGTCGCTTCTGAAGGGTCAAATTCAAACTTCTCAACCGCCTTTCTGTCTCTTTTCACGATATCTGTTATTGGTCAGGTTTAAGGAAAACCCAATTCTACAAAATACTAAACTAGCCTCTACTAGAAATAAAATTGACATCACAGAAGGAAAAGAGTAAAAAGAACAAGTAGTGATCAACACAAAAGGATACGCCCTGATATTTTGGAATTTTCATGCAGGTTTGGAATTATATTTGTGACAGAAGCATACATTGAAAGCTTCATCCTACAAGACACAAGAAAATTGTTTAATCTGATGCATCAAAAACGTAGATAAAGAAGGAAAGAATAGAAATCAAATCACAGTTGCAAAAGAAGGCTAAGAAAGAATGGTAACATATTATTTCCTTCTAATAAATGTGATGAATTCATGACCATACAAAACTTTAAATGAACATTGTAAGACATGTCAACCATACTAGAATGAGCAACACAAAGAGAGAATCCTTAAATGATTGTAACAGGTTTTCTGGACTTACTGTGCCCTCATCTCATCTTGCTCAAGCTTTCTCAGAATCTCCCTTCTTTCTTCAACAGAAGCCCTTTGATTTTCTAGATCATTAATTTCATTGGTAATAACAGTGTTGACAGAATTTACAAACAAATCACCAATTAATACTATTGATTTGAAACCAAGAATAAAAAATATACAACTGAAATTGACCAAATACTTATCTAAGTTCCTCCTGGAGCAAACGTTCTCTCTGAAATTCCTCTTCCAACTCTTGTTGAAGCAAATCCATTTCTGCATCTGAAGCAGCTTCGGATCTTGCCTCATCTGATTTTTTCTTGCTCACATCTATCCTTTTCTGATAATCTGATGCATGTAATAACTTATCAGTGATATAACATGCAGATCTATATTGACACTAAATAGCATGTTTGCAAAGAAAATTGAGAATAAGCCTTCCTGAAGTATTTTTCTAGCAGTTGCACTTAAAGAATGGTATTCATTTTAACAAGATGCAACTGAAAAACAATGATGGACTAAAAGAACTACAATGACAAATATCCCTGTCTCCTCAATGGGGGTGACGGCCTGTCATTTGGACTAGGGTTTGATAATTGTGGGCGATTAGTAGATGGATAGTGTAACATCTCATTCCAGAGGGACAATTAATTACTAATAATTTGTTGGGTACACACTGAAAATTGTAAGAAAAATGGAAATCTGTCTTTGGTTTAAATTATAATTTTTAAAATGTGAGGAAATGAAAAATATAATTACGCAAATTATTTGCTACTGTTTAGTGGATAATTTTGGAACTTTGGTTTGAGATTATTTCATTGGAATTGTGTGGAAGACTTTAGATAAACAAAACAAGATAAAGAGAGTGATTAAATACAAATAAAGTCCCATGAAATAAGATAAAGAGAGAGAGATGAAAAATTGAGGCTAAGTGTCATTTTGGTATGTGTATCATAAAGTTGAATGGTACACGTTTGCAGCTGGTGATATAGGTTGGAACCCACAGAATTCAGCTTACATTATTAGGGTGTTATGTTAATACAGTTGCAGGAAGCATCGTGATCCGGCAATACATCATGGACTTGAATGTCTAAAGGTTTTATTAACAAAGGTTCGAAAAGCAAAGTCCCCTTTACTTCAATGCAATTTGTCCTCACATATCCACTTGTTGCTTTCTTTCACAGAGATGATATGGATGCTAAACAGAAAATTATACAGCATTTACCATGTAATTTCCAAAACATTTAGAAGCCAAGCTGGAAAATAAATAAATAAATCCTCAAAAATCTACCAGAAGAAACCGTAGAATAAGTCTCCTAACCAAATGACAAAGGCAGAGAGAAAAATAGAGATGTGGTCTATGATCCCACTTGCATCTTGCTGAAAATTAGGACAATTGTTATATTAAATCTGAGAAGAAAATGCCTTATGACTTCAATCCGAACCATTTGCACTTGTCTAGTACATAGAAAAATGAATTCACAACAACATTTACACGAGAGATAATATGAATGGCTGACTCTGTTGGACCTCACTGCTTACCATCTCACCAAAACCCATAGGTAGTGGTGAAGGCGCAACTTTATTCCCTTAAAGGGTATAGCGCCACAAGTCGACTGCGACTCAGCCTTACCCTAGGCCTCTGCCACAGCAGGATGTTTACAACAACATTTACACGAGAGATGATATGAATGACTGCCTCTATTGGACCTCAGCGCTTACCATCTCACCAAAACCCATAGGTAGTGGTGGTGAAGGCGCAACTTTATTCCCTTAAAGGGTATAGCGCCACAAGTCAACTGCGACTCGGCCTTACCCTAGGCCTCTGCCACAACAGGATGCTGGCCCAAATCCAAGCCAACAATCCCCCCAACACCTGCCCGCAGGCAGCATGCCCTCTCCAAGGGAATCGAACTTGAGATCTTGCTCTGATACTAATTGTTGGACCTCAGCACTTACCATCTCATCAAAACCCATAGCTAGTAGTGCTGGTGCAACTTTATTCCCTTAAAGAGTACAATGCCAAGCGCCACAAGTCAACTGCGACTCGGCCTTACCCCAAGCCTCCGCTACGGCAGGATGCTGGGCCAAACCCAGGCCAACAGCCCCTTTAATCACTGGAACTAATAACCATTATCCATTCTTTTCTATTCTCTCCTACTTAAACTTTCCTTTTCTCTCCTAATTTGCCAAAAAGACTACAAGTAAATCAATCAAAATGAACCTCTATGCTATGCAGCACATCGTACACAGACAAAACGAGAATCTTAGAACGCGCACATCAAGCAAAAAACTAACAACTGCTAAACCACACTTCAATTTGCTATTGCCAATACGGTACATACATTTGTGATTTCTCTAACACTCTGTTTGGATCATGAGAGGAGGTGAGAAAAGAAACGATTCGGGTTTGTCACTTGGGTGAGAAAAGAAAATAAACGATTATGATTTCTCACCATTATGTTTGGATGAATAAAAAATAATAGAATGGGGTTTCTCCTCTATGTTGTTTGGATAGGGTAAGTAAGAGAAAGGAAAAGAAAGTGTCTTATTTTATTTTATTAAAATAACCTTCCATATTAATAAGTTTTGCTTTTTCGTATGGGTAGTTTTGGTATTTTAAATAAATTTCATTAAATTCAATTCTTCTCTCAAATCTCACCACTTTTGATGAGAAACAAAACACAAGTTTGGTGAGAGTCCATTTCTCACCTTACTCAACCATCCAAATAAGTGAAGTCTCACCATTTCTTTTCTTTTCTCACTAAACCCCTCCATCAAAACAGAGTAAATGAATCCCAAAATTTTAGTTAGATATTCCATCTCTTAGTTCGTACATACATACATACATACATACACACATACTAGGGGGAATTTCATTTCAGTGCAACTTTAAAATATATATATATATATATATATTACATATTCAAGACAAACTTTACAAGATTAAAAAAAAAAAAAAATTATAAAGTTTTCCATGTATCTGAAATTATTTTTTGAACTTTCCACTTAACTGCTATTTCCCCTACATAAAAACGGCAATTTTTAACAAAATAAATTGAAAAGAAAGAAGAGGTGTTGAGAACAAATAAGGAAAGATACTGGACCTTGAAGCAAGCTAAGAACATCGTTGTAATCAGCGTCGCATTGAGATTGAAGAACCTTTGATTGTTCCAAATGTTGGGTCAAGTTGTTAACATCCTTCTCATCACTGAGGAACCCAACGAGGTCGTCACTGTAAGCAATTACACTCTTCACATCGGTCTTTCTCGACAAATCTCCCATTTTTTTTGTTGGGTTTGAGATGAATCTACTCGGATCCTCCTCTGAAGCAATCTAGGGCTTTAAAAATAAAAAAAATAAAAAATAAAAAAAGAGTAGATTTACAGTGATGCAAAACTAAAATGATTCATGTAATTCCTTCTGATGATGTTGGTTGGTATGGGATTCACAGATTTGCTGCTTACTATATGTCTATTATGCCATCCAATTTGTCTGTGCTTTCAAGTTTCGACAAGAGGAGGAAAGTGCTAATGGAAAAGAGGGAAAGTTCGAATTATATAAAGGGAAAATTGAATAATGCTATATGCACTTTATTAATTAGTATACTAATTGATAATATGACCGAATTTAAAAATTTTTTGATATTTATAATATAATTAATGAATGAGATCAATAATAATATTATAATTAGTGTTGATACACTAGTTAGTACACTAATTGATACATGTAACACCACCGGAAAAAATTAAACATTGTCCCTTTGTATTTAGTCATTTTTCACTTTGACTCTTTCTTTTTCTCTTTTTTCACTTTAACTAGTACTAGTGAAAGGGCGCGTGCAAGGCACACTAACTAATGGCCAGTTAGTGCCCATTACATTTGTGTATTTAAATGAGTTTTGAGCTATTGCATAAACACAAAATTAGCAACTCGATCATGAATACAAGACCAACTTAACAATACAGAGTTTTTAACAAATACTATTACTTACACAAAAATAAAAAATAAAAAAACCTATTACAAGATCTATTTTCCCAACAAAATTGTCATTCCTAAAAATATGATGAAATAAAAATAAAGCAATTGTTTTCTCTATTTGACAAATGAACAAGTACTCAATCATCCTTAATGGCAGGACTTGAAATCCGTCATCAATTGTGAACCCACTTTTACTTACTATATTATGAGTAAGATGAGCCAAACCATGCTTGTATGTAATGCTGTGAGACTGAATTTTCTATTAAATCCTCAGCCAGAGTTGCTCTGCATTATATTTGTTAGAAATAAATATCTAGTTTTCATAATTGAGCATTTCAAATCAAATACTACCTTTTAGATCCCATCAACTCCTTCAATCTAAATGTATACCAAATAGATCAGGATCATGTGAATAATCAAACATGATTTGTTTGCAAAACTTTTATTCTACTTGCTTAAAGCATTAAAAAAAAAAAAATAGAAAGGTTATCAACCCTTCTTATTTAATAGTTTAATGGGAAAAAAATAAAATAAAAAAGCAATACAAAGGTAGACCATAATAACTATTATCAGACATCCTTATTTGCATGGATTGGAGATAAGATAAGTAGCTAATCATCTACTTGAAAAGAAGGAAATAGAGAGAATACCTACAAGCAAATTCTTACAAGGGTTAGATTCAAATCATTGTGTTTTATGCAATTCAAACATAGCGCATGCATGCAAATTAAATCATTCAAAATTCAAAGAGAAAATTAATCAGCAAGATGGTGCAAATTACATAGCGAGGGAATTTCACATCTAAAAGCTAGACCAAACCCACAAGCTTAGTTTTTTAAGCCTTTCATATTTGATAATTAGCTTTTGGTAATAAGGTCTAGTTTGCTATTAGATGTTTTTAGCAACTTGCATTCACTAAATTGGATCACAGATGGTCATTCCACAACATCAGTTCTAGATTAACAAGAAGCAGAAGCAATGTTGGATTCTATCATAGTAGTGTTTTCTTTAATATTTGAAATAGATTTTGAGTGCATGAATGCAAGTGATGTTTTAGGTTAGGTTTAATGATCACACTGGACTACAAAGTACAGGTACAATAATTCCAATGATCTAATTAATTGGTTAGAAACTTCGTCTAAAAATAGGTCTTTTACAATGTGTGAAAGGAGGTTTTTCTATCCAATCGAAATTTTTTGACAAGTTCCAACTCTTCAGGGAAAATTTGAGTCTAAAGTTGGGGGATGGCAAGAATATTAATTTCTGGAAGGACAAATGGCTTGATGAGAGACCCTAGTTGCATAAATTTTCAGATAATAAGGATGGAAATGTAGCTAATCTTCTCCGCCCAGGTGATCATAATGGTTCTTTGCAACTTAATTTTAGAAGAGCTTTTTTTGTATAGGAAGAAGACAACTTTTCAAGCCTGTTACCTTAATGTTATGTTTGGAGCATGGATTTGGGTAAGGATTTGAAAATGAAAAGAGAAAGTGAAAGGGAAAGGGAAAGGGAAAGGGAAAAGGAAAAGGTGGGTGAAATGTAACTATATTTCATTCACATTTTATCTTCATTTTCACTTTCCTTTCCAAATCTCTACCTAAATTCATGATCAACACAGCCTAAGTGATAGGTGTTTTGTCTTGAAACAAGATTATGGGTGTGCTCTGTTATGCTATGGGAAGCATTGTAGGAATCTTTTAAACATTGGAAGTTTTTTGGTTGAGTGAAGCAAGGAGTTGGGAATTTTTTCAGCATCAATTGCTGCTGGTGTTTTGTTTGCAATATTCGCTACTTGCGTTATTTGGCTTTGTTTTGGTTCTTGTTTGGTGTTGCTCCCAATTTTGATTGGGATTTGTTCCCTTTTTTGTTGCTTTAGCCTTGGCCTTTTGTCTCCACTAACGTATTCATTTGTCCACCTTGTACCTTTGTTTGACATCAATATATTTTATTTTTGCCGATTAAAAAAAAAAATCTAGAAACTGCATAAGTTTCTTTTGCACTTCTAGTATCAGGAGGAGGGACAAGAAATAAATCTCACATTACTAATTTACTTTTATTAAAAACAAAGAAAAAGAATTATGAAATAAAAATGAAATGAAACAATAAAAGTGAAAATGGTTGTTAGCAACAACACTTCCATTCAAACTGACTAAAGCAACAAAAGCCACCATATAATGCAAAGAATGTACATTTCAATAAGAGGTCTTCAATCTCATTAAATAAACAACCATGCAAAGTATGCAATGTCAAATGTATTGAGTATCAAATGTTGAATCATTTATCACAGAGAAAGGTCCTCCCCATTTTTGGCTCTTGTACATGAGAATAAATTTGCAAAAGAATGAGATTAATATTGGATTTTAAAGATGATAATTAGAAGAATTCTTTTCAAAATGAATTTTTTTAGTGTACTGGAAAAAAAATCTCAGACTTGTTCATAATAATAATTATGAATGAAGTATAGTGTATTCCTCTGTTATATGAACACCTAACATGCAAAAGATAGTAATATTAAACCTCAAGTTCAACTAAACAAACAACAAGGGAAATTGAAGGACTGTATTATATATACTCTTAGGAGACTTCACAATTGTTAACAAAAAATACACATTATCTACATACACAAATGAAAAAAAAAAATATGAAGCAAGCAACAAAATCTACTAAAGGTAACAGAGGAAATTATAAAACTTATTGCAAACTCACATCACAAAGAATTATGCAACCACTAAATATGAAGCAAACCATTGGCCAAGACTCCAATGGCTATGTATAGTTTTCCTCACATTTCTATTTAACCCTCCATAGTGGCCCAAGGCACTGAGCCCCAATCAAATTAAAACATGATTCATACTAATGTGTTATAATTCTCTTTTATGAATGAAACTCAAACAAAAGTCATTTCCAAACCTAGGGGAAAAAAAGAAAAAAAAGCAATAAAGAGAAAAGATTGGACCTTTAACCATTCAAATCGACATTTAAAAGTGATCTTAAGAAATTGTTGAGGTTTATTGAACTTTTCACACAGACGATATATTTTTCAATTTAATCAAAGGAATAAAATTAGTAATAAATTTTTAAAAAAAAGTATGGCAACTTTTGCAAACCCATTTCACAAAAGACACCTAATAAGGCAAAGAAAACCATTGGCCAAAAAATCTTCTCTACTTTCACTGGTATTCATTTCACCCATCAATTGATCACTATGATCCACAGTCTCTATTTTACATTTTGATCTTCTCTCTCTACTCTATCTTTCTCTACAGACCATCACATACCTATATATTTTTCTTCTTTCTCTACTCTTTTTTCTTTCCACACTCTTTACCGGCCATCACTCACCTCTCTATTTTTCTTCTTCTCTTTTCTCTCCCACATCTCTTGAAGAACCTATTACTCACCATGAGGGATCTTCACATCATCAAAAGTCATAACATAATCGCAGAATTTCCTCAATCACCCAATTCAATTTTCCCTGTAAAGCCTTGCAATAGACACACTACCAAGCAATAGTCACAAAACTTTGACACACTATGTTCTATAAAACAAATTGCAAAAGCTAAGCACTTCCACGCATCACTGGAACAACTACACATCAATGGAACTACTGTATCTAGTTCTAATGATATTCAACAAAATACACACAAAACCAAAAAAAGGAAAATGATAATGATGATGTGAGAAAGGAAGACACACATATGAGAGAGGAGAGAGAAAATCTATGAGAAAATTAGGAACAAATGAAGAGTTGTGTCAGTTGGGTTACCGAAAGTGTATTTTTGTACATTGAGATTTATTGAAGAATCTAAGCCTCTCATCATATTCTAGAGAATTCGAAATTGTTCTTCAAGGATCTTCGAAGATCTTCGAATTTTCCAACTCCTTTCTTGAACCCTTTCTTACAAATTCAAACCCCATTTGAAATCAAGAACATTAAGCCCTCTGTTTGAGGGTTTTTAAAGGTTAAAAAGTTTGACCCAATTGAATTTTGCAATCTTTTCACAGCAAAATAGATAAATGAATAAAAAAGCTTGCCGGTATGTATGTGCATAGAAAATACTAAAAAGAGAAGACCACATAAACAACAACTCAGGGAAAATTTATATGATGGTCTCCAAAATCACAATTTCATACTAATAAAAATCAGGTTTTAGGGATTTCAAGCCATACCTCTTCAATGAGAACTCTTTCGAACCAATAAGCTACTACAGAAGACAGAGCTCTCAAAGAACCCTTCAAAATCAAGAGACGAAAGTGAGAGATGATAAAGAGAAAAGAACGGACAGAGAAATCAGAGAGAGAGAAACCATAGATTCGGAGCAAGTAGGATAAAATTTTAGGTTTTAAGAGCCATACGTGGTCTCTTCAATCCTTGCGACTTCGATCTCCACGAATGGAAACAGGAAGAGACGACCCGAGAAGAGAGAAGGCGTTTTTCGTGAGGGAGTGAAGCAAACAGACGAGGGAGAGAGCGGGGTATGCTATGGATCCTTTGATAAACAGCTGTAAGGAATTTGAAGATAGTTTTCCATGAATAGCCTTGCATCCAAAGAAGAAAAGCTATAAAGCATAAGGTCAAAATCGACTTTTCAACTATTCAAAAAATACTGTTCATATTTGGCTAAAATTACTGTTTACTTTGCATCCGTGGTTTATATATATTGTATAGAAAACCTCTAACTCATGGTGTTAAAAATAGAATCTAGTACTGCTAATTTAAATATATTAACAAAATTAGATAAATAGAAACTAAGAAAATTAGTTGGTTGCAAATAAGTGGTAATACATGTGGAAGTGTGTCATTTTGCACAGTCCTCTTTGCCACGAGAGCATAGGAGTTTTTTGGGCAAACTGAGTCATATCACTTCTTATATTTTTTATTTACGAAGAGATAAAAAGATCAAAATTTTAGTTTTTAATCAACTTCCAATATGTCTCACACAATCCATTAATCTTGAATTTGTCAAAAGAATGAAAATATAATGGACGTTGAAATTACTAATTACATATTTAATTTCTAACGAGTAATTAAACAAAAATCTATCTTTTAACAATATATATTTATTTTCTTTTCATTTTTAACCCATTCAAATAAAAAGGGAAAAAAAAAAGTTTATCTCTCTTCATTTTATTTTTTCTCTTTTTTTACTTGAGCAAATCCAAAATCCCCCGAGTATTTTGCTTTCACATTATAGATTTTGTTAAATTCTTATGAACATAAATAATATTTTCAGTTTATTAAATTGCTTGAATTTTGAGTGAGACAAACATTTCCAAAGGCCCACAGGCACTATTTTCAATTCCAATCTCTTCATATGGTCAGTGGGCCGTGAATTAATTAATATAATTTAATGTGGTCAATATCATATTCTATTAGTGTTTAGTGTGGTGGTCCTTTTATTTCACACAAAGAATGTCTAATTTATCCTGCCTTTTGGTAAAATATTAATAAATTTTAAAATATTACATACTTTTATATAAAAATGTATGTAATAATGAGTATATAATCTTTTAAGTCATCTTAACATGTATTTTAAAGGGAAAAATTAGTCTAACATCTCTATTCAATTTTTGATAATAGGAGAGATTCACAATGTTATTTTTTGTAACGTAGAGTCCCTCAACAATACAAGACACTACACTCTAATTCAAGATTTATCATTGTCACTAGTGCCAAAGATTGAAAAGAGAAAGAGAGACACAACAACAATAAAGTGAAAAAACTGAGAGAGATCTCTCTACAATTTCTTTACTATAAAATGGTTCCTTTGGCCATTTGAGGACAACTTTGAGACTTACTACATGAGTTGTTGTGAATCAACTTTGCCAACAGACACCCAGAAAAAAGACAACCACCACCACCCACTGTCTTCCGACGGACCAAACACAAGAGTTTCCTCATTCTCAGAGTTGTGTTTCTTGGAGTTCAGCCCCGAATACATCATCTCCGAAAGCAGCAAAAGAGCCTCTAATCTTGTCTACAAAGGCCGTCTACAGAACTGCCAGTCGATCGCTGTCAAGAAATTCGCCAAATTGGCTTCACCTAACCCTAAGCAATTTGCACACCGCTACATTTCACCACACTCAGGCTCTCGTCACCATTGTCATCGAAACCTATATCATTGGTTGTGAAACCCTATATTTTTTAGGTATTAATATTTTAATGGGAGGAATTGGTGATCTATTATAGTAGTTTGGTAGTGAGATTTTTATATGAGAACTTAACTTATTTTCTCTAGTTGTTTTGTCTCTTTTTACCTCCATTTCATATTATCATTATTCATCTCTTTTTATTTATTTATTTGTTTTTAGTTTGCTTAAGTTCCAAACAAATGTTCTTTTCTTTCCCTTCAAGTTACCTTTCTTTGCCTTAAAGACAATTATCTTTCTTTTCCTCCAAGTTTACACTTGGAGGCAACTCTTTATTTTGATTATAAATTTGAATTCATCCTCTCAACTTCTTTCTATGGTTCTTCTTCTTGGTCCATCCATCTTTCTCTATCTCTCTCTCTTTCCTTATGATCAAAATTTAGAGTTTAGATTAAGAGTATTAGAGTGAGAGTTAGCATTTTATTTAAGAGGATAGTTGTAGATTTTGTTAAACTTTACATACCTTTTCGATCCACAACCTTTGGAGATTTATGGTGATATAGCAAATGATTAAAAGCATTGGTATTGGAGAGATTTTGCATCAAATGGTTATGGAATTGTTTTGAGGTAATTCGGGTGGTGTACAATATGCTTTCTCTAAATCTCTTTGCAAAGAGTTTTTATCTTAATTTTGAGGTTGATTTGATTTATAAACGACCTGGAAGTTGGGGCGTTTCATTAGTATTGCTAAACCCTTCAATTTGAAACAATTTTTTCTTTTATCTCATCGTTATCATTGATAAAATCGTGATATATGATGTTAATGAATATTTGTATGTGCAAAATTTGATGCGTACATTGGATGTAAGATTGCTTCGATTAACATTAGTACACCTGTTGTCCGAATGTCTTATAGTTTAGAGAAAATTGGTTAAAATGGTAGTTGTTCAATTTTCTCTAGTATGGTCAAAAATACAGAGAAAATTGTGAACAAACCAAAGAAAATTGGTTAAAACACAGAGAAATTTGTGAACAAATCAAAGAAATTTCAACTTAGAAAAATTTGAAAAAACAAAAAATTTCAAAACACAGAGAAAATCAGAGAAATTGAGAAATTTATTTGGTTTGAAATTTCTCTGAAAAAATATTAAGGGATCCTAACCACTATGAAAATATTGCATGTCCTTTATCCTATAAAATCTTCATACTAGAAACTTAAAAAAAAAAAAAGATTCCTATTTTAAAGTCATATATTAAGAAGACTCTTCCTTTGTCAAGAAAATAGAAGATGAAAAGAGAATGAAATTACTTGCATATTTATTTTTCTCATTTCTTAACCCAACCTAGAAAAACATAAATTTTAGATTCTTTCACTTTTAACTTTTTTCTATCTTGTTTATTTCCACTTACAAATGTAAGATTACCACAAATAATGTAAATATTCACTGGTCAATGGACTTGCTGAAGTGAAAATGATTGAAAAAGAAAGGGAAAATAATGAATTGGAGCCGTATGGGGAAAATATTTTCAAGTGGATAATTTTTTTGAAATTACAACTCAAATGGTAAGAATAAAACTAAGACCTTATTTGGGAACATGCTATTTTAGTAACTTTCTAATTTTTTACGAAAAGATGTACAAAAAAAGTAGAGAGAGTGATGTAACAACTTATAGTGACTTTTTGACTAAAATGTATAATTAACAAACGAGGCCTAAGTGCAAAAAGGTGGAAATCACTTATGAATTTATCAAAATGTCCTAATCTTCTTCTTATTCTTCTTCTCTTTTCTTGTCTCTAAAACTTTGGCTACAACTCATCATTGACTACCACTCCCCTATGACCCCGATCCTCCACCCTCCTTCCTTACTCCAAACCCTTATCCTACCATTTCCTTTTCCTCCACTTTTGTTTTAACTTCTTTCTCCATACTTAACAACCAAATCAACTAAAATCTTAGCCACTAGAACTCTTATAGCTCTTCACCATTGCGACTTTTATTTCTTTCCCTGTTGTTGCAAATTTTTTTCGGGTGCAGGTGACTTGTGTTGGCCGCAAATACAATTTGTACATTATTGCAAATGCAATATGTAGATGATACAATATGTGGATGGTGCAAGGGACAAATGTGCACAATTCTGCACATTTTGTACTTGTATGGTGCACGTATTGCACTGGCACCCAAATTATTATTATTATTTCTTACTATAACAAGGAATAGAAGGTGGGGGGTTGCAATGGAAAAAAGGGCCTTTGGTGATTAGTGTTTTGTCAATTTAGTTATATAGTGGGAAGTAACTAGGACGGAGGAGAATGGATGGGTAAGGAAGTGGTGAGAGTTCGTGAACAGGGTGGAGAAAGAGTTTCAAGTAGCATAGGAATGGTGTGGGATGGGCTGAAGATCATAAAGGGAAGTGGTGGTCAAGATCGGTGGCCAAAATTACATAGCTGAGAAAATGGAATAAGAAAGAAGCATAAAAAGAAGATGATGGTATTTTAGTAAATTGAAAGGGTGATTCATACCTTTTTTATAAATAATTTTTAAGGTAATTCTATTTCCATACCAATTCTTCCCAGTTGATACACGAGGAATTGTTAAATTATTTTTATATAAAATAATAAAACAAATAAAAAAATATAAAAAATTAAACATTATATTTAAAAAAAATCCCAATATATAAAAAATAAAAAAATTTCTAATCCCCTCACTATTTTCTAATACCATCTCTGCCTTCTCCTTGCCAATCCCCCTTTCAAGGGTATTAGTAATACGAAGGGACTAATAGTCCCAAGGCTATCTCTCCAAACAAACAAGGGCATTAGTAATACCTTGGTATTACTAGTCCCAATACCCTCCCTATAGCCCAAAACAAACGGGGCCTTACTTTCTCTCATTTCGTCCACCAAGCTCACTCTCTTCTCTTCTCTTCCTCTCAGCTGAATGAAGTGTTTGTGTGTGTGTTCTTGTATGCAAAATGCTAAGAGAGGTGTTGTTTTTATAATAAAATTTGTGCAAAAGGTCCAAAATACCCATTGGTTGGAATTGGATTGAATACATTGGATTTAGTTTGAATTCAATGGAATAGTCTCCAATGGTGTTTGCTAATAGCATTACCATTGTTATAATTTGACAATGAATAGTGTTATTTATTACCAAATTATAGCAGTGGTGCTCCAATGGTCACATGCTATTATGACAAATCTTAACCAACTTTCCTCCAAGTTTGTAAGCGTTGTTTGGATATAGATTTTTTAGTAATATTTTTTTTGGGTTTATTTTTTGTCTTTTGTGACTTTTTTTAATTGTTTTTTAAAAAATTATATATTTACATTATTCCCAACTAGACAAATATAAAAAAAAAATAAATAAATAAATATAATTCACCCCACCAAAAAACATACCACTACAAAATTATACTAACCATTGGAT